GGCTAGAGGAGTAGTAGAGAGAGGGAGAGAGTAGTAAGGGGCTAGAGGAGTAGCAGAGAGAGTAGTAGGGTTTTCAGAGGAGTCAGGAGATAGAAGAGTAGGGTCAGAGAAAACAGGTGATGACGGTGGAGCTAGGAGAGGCTGAGCCGAGCCAGAGAAGATGTTGTTAGGAGACAGATAAAAGAAGACCCAGGAAGAACCCACAAAGTAGTTTAAAAAACAAAACAAAAACAAAACCAGCCGGGCGGTGGTGGCGCACGCCTTTAATCCCAGCACTTGGGAGGCAGAGGCAGGCCGATTTCTGAGTTCGAGGCCAGCCTGGTCTACAGAGTGAGTTCCAGGACAGCCAGGGCTACACAGAGAAACCCTGTCTCGAGAAACAAACAAACACCCCTAAACCAAAAGGCAGCGTTTACAAAAAGCTGTAATAATGCATAAGTTAAAATATACATTGTAAAGAATAAAAAGGGGGTTGAGTTGAGTTAAAGATGTGGGGCTGGGAGATGCCATGCTGGTTTGCTTCTGAATTGGAATGCAGATTTAGACACTTTCATATTTTTCTGTCTTGAGGAGCAGGGAGACCAGTATTCAAGAGAGAGCTAAGGGAGGCCGAAAAGGGGGGCAGAGAATAGCATCAAAAATTGTGTACATGTTTAAAAATGTCATAAACCATTATTTTATATAAATGATATATGCTAATGATAATAGAGGAACCAGATTAAGCTTATGGTGATAAATACCTTTAAGCACTTGGGTGTGGAGGATGAGGCAGGAGGATGATAAAAATTCAAGGTCAGTTTAGGATGCATAGTGAGTTCAAGACTGGCCTGAGTTAGGTAGAGAGACATTGTCTCAAGTAACAAAACAAAAACTAAAATTCCTAGTTCAGTCTATCCTCCATGTTTATGGAGGCTGTGAGAAATCCTTTTTCTAGTTAGATATATATAGAAAGAGGTGATAAATTGTGAAATAAGTATAGAAGTTATTCACAGATACCTAAATATTTTGTGAGATGTCTATACTTACTTTTTTCATGGACAAGTGAATATTATGCCCAGTGATATTTTTGTTTTGCTACATGCATGTTAATTAGCAAGAACATTATTTTGCACACAAATCAGGTCAGAATCACTTGAATACTTTTGAAAGTCCAATTAGAAAGATGTCTTATTGAGGGGATTTGTTACTAAGGTAGTTCTGTATTTGTATAGGTACAAAATGTTACTCACAGGTGTCTTCCTTAGTTTAAGATGACATCTTGTTCGGGGTCATCTGTGGCAGTCTCAATGAATAGATTACCTGGATCAGATTGGTCTGTGGCCATGTCTGTGAGGATTATCTTGATTGTTAGCTGATGTGGGAAAACCCAATCCACTATTGGCAGTGCCGTCTCTGGCAGGAAGTTCTGAGCTGTGTAAGAAATCTAGCAGAGAGAAAGCAAAAAGGTAGATTTTGTTCTCTAATACAGTTTGCTAGTCTATCTTTTCTTGGGGAATTGAGACCACTAATATTCATAGTTATTACTGAAATATGTGTATAGGTTTCTACAATTTTATTTAATTTTGTAGTGTTTTCCTAAATCTCTTTTGGTTTGTATTTCTGGTATTTATTTTCCCTTTTGGTCTTTTGGGTATTTTTCTCTTCAGTCTGCCGTATTTCTTCTTTTCCATACAGTTTTCTGGAGTAATCCTCTTTTCATTATTTGGCTTAGTGGTCACAAATTCCGATAGTTTTAATCATGTGAAGTTTTAAATTTTCAATTAAGACTGGTAATTTTGCCGAGAATAATAGTCTGGAGCGACAGTTTTTGGTCTTTCAGAACTCACAATATAAATCTCTAAGCCGCTCTTGACTTAAAGCTTTGTATTGAATCATCAGTTATTACTGTGCTTGGATTACTTGGTTGCTGTGATTAAGCATGCTGACCAAAAGAAATGTGGGGGAGGAATGGATTTATTTGCCTTACACTTCCAGGTCACAGGGCATCACTGAAGCAAGTCAGGGTGGGAACCGTGTAGGAACAGTGCTTGCTGGCTCCAGTTCAGACTTGCTCATAGGCTCAGGCTCAGCTTGTTTTCTTATACAGTCCAGAACCACCTACCCACCACTGAGGGCTGGGCCACCCGTAGTAATTACCAGTTAAAACATTATTTTATGGACATGGGACTTCCCCAGAAGACTGGTCAGCAGCTGAAGTTAATGAGGAAAGAACACTTGTTCTGTATTCTGTTTTTAGAATTTTAACTGTAATATGACATGGAGAGGTTTTTTTCTGGCCCTGTCCATTGGTGTTCTGTTAGGCCTCTTATATCTGGATAACTATGGAAATGGGAAATATTTGTCATGGGCAGGGAATTCTTCTATTTCCATAATTCATAAATTTGGTCTTTTCATGGTGACCCTAAAGTGTCTTGTGTTCCTTTCCCCCACTTACTGCCTTTGGTGGAAAGATCCAGGTCGTCCCCATTGTCTTCAGCACTGATAGTGTTTCCCTCGTCCTCGTCATAGTCGTCGTCTGTACTGCTGGTGACGCTTGCCGCTGGGCTTCCCATTTGGTTCATTATGTTTTCTTCTCCTTTTCAGTGTCATTTCAGTTTG